GGAATGGGAAGGGTGAAATTGGAAAAAATTGAAAGAAGATTGCATGAGAAATTGAACCGGTGGTTTTTCTGGTTTCACCGGTTTTATCGGTTTTTACCGGTTTTTGACCGGTTTTTGACCGGTTTTGACCTAAAACGGTTTTCTTATGTGAACCGAACCGTTTTCATGACCGGGTACCGGTTCGACCGGTTCAACCGGCCGGTCCGATCCGATTTTAAAAACCTTGACCATAACTCCTCTGCTTCTCTTCAGCAACTATTCTTCAATTCTAGCCTCTGAGCCGGTTGCTTTGATTGGTCGGTGGGTACATCTCCTCTCTTCATTTCAGCTTCTCTACTCAAGGTCTGCTTCTTACCCTCCTTTTTCTTATGCCATCTGACCTTAATCTGTTTCCTCATTCTTCTTTCCATTTGTTTTTTTTCCTCTTTTTATCTCTTGCTAGCCTTTCTGCTCTTGATTGCAAGATTTCATCCTCACTCGCTAACCCTTCCCAGAAAGGTTGAGTTTGTCGATCCTCTTCCTCTTGGGTTTTTGGTGCCTCATCTAAGTTCCCCTTTCAATCTCCGGATTGCCAACTCTGTGACTCCCCTTTGCTGGAATTCACCTCATTATTTGATTGTGATTCCATATCTACCCTTTTGTTTCTTCTTTTTTCAATATGCTCTGCAGTTCCATTCTTACCCTTATCACCATGATTGGGCTTAACCCCAAGTTGGTTCAGCCTACTTTGGCCCAAAACAAAGGTATTTTGTCTTGGGCCTAGGCTTGGATTTGGTTAGCTGCATGAATTAGGATGTTCTTTGCTTAGCTTCACAACACCACCCCTTTTGTCTTCTGCACTCTTCAGAGAATTATCCGAAGCAGCCTCTCTACCATTCACCTCGGGTTCCTCATCCGTAGCCAATGAATTTGAATTTTGACATGCTGCATTTAATGAGCCTCATGTGGAGAGATCTTTTCAGAGTTCTTTACTTCTTCCATACTCATATTCATTGACCGTTCTGACTCTGTTGGCGCTAATTCTGCCATCCTCGGGAGTTGCTGCACTTCATCATCCTCTTCTGCTACTTGCCAATTACCATCACATTTACCATCTTCATGAAAGTCACCATTGGACTCATCCGACCATTCCTTTGAAATTGATCCTCCATCACTAATTAAGTTGAAATCTGATCTCAAGCTGAACAAATTATCAACTCCAATCTCCTCGTTAACACGAATCTGGAAG